CATGCCTGATATAACAGTCATTGAAAAGAAGAAAGTCTGGTTCACTGATGTTGCTATACTGAGTGATGCTAGGATTGAGGAAAAACAATTGGAAAAATATTAACAGATTACTGAGATTTGCAGATCGAAATTGAACGCTTATGGAAAAAGAAAACTGCTGTTATACCAATTGTGACTGGACCCCTTGGGGCAATACCTAAACGACTCCCTTGATATTTAGAAATTTTGAATTTATTGGACCTGAACACCCTAATTTTACAAAAAACTCCTTGCTAGGAACTGACTACATTCTCAGATGCTACCTTAATAATTCTTAGGTCCTTGGTTAGGACTTGAATTATTAGGCTCCCACTAATCTTAGACTGTGAATTTAATTGTAGATTACTACTACTACTACTACTACTAATAATAATTTAGAAGAAGCAAGGGATTTGAACAGGTTAATTAGAAGGCTAGATGGAAGCTTGAAAAAGGGAAACTAATCTTGCTTTGTTTCTGTTTGGATTCTGAATCTTCTGGCACTTGCCAAAAGGGAAGGCAGATCAGTATCACTGCCGATGGCAACACAAACTCTTCCAATCCTTGTGGGTCTGTGTATTTGGCCCCATTTTCTCATGTCATGCCCCCTCCCTCAAAATATAGCATGTCTCTAATCCACACATCTCTAGCATTGCATGCACATAAGAAGAGACATAGCTTTTCTCTTTACTCAACCTTTACTTAAAAGGCAGAAAGGCTTTAAAATGAAAACAGAAAGCTTTTAAAACCCCACAGCGACCACTACACTAACCCTTCTAGCTCAACAGTTGTGGTCTGTCTGATCTGGACAGGATAGGCAGGCAGATAGAGGGGTCAAGTTTCTTTATGACACAAAGTTCCCCAAAATGACCGCGTGAAGCTGTGTGAATAAAGCTTAGCCAACATACTACTCTACTTGTGAGTAAGCATCTCCACCTGCCTTTTAAGCATAACCTTGTAAATGATAGTGTTGCCAGTGATGTCTGTGTATATATACACAGGCAGAAAATAAATCTTGGTTTCCCTCTAGCAAAACACAAAAGTTCAAAATCAGGAGACCACCTAAATGATGCCCCACTTCTATTGGGTATATTCTTAAACAAACATTTTGGTACAGCTTCCTTCGGAGCTTAATTCCACCATTATCTCTTTGGTCCTTTTTCTCTGAAAGCTGGTGAGCTTCAGTTACCTCTCTTGTGAACTCTCTTCTGAATTACCACCAGTTTGTGGTTTTGAGTTATCTGCAATAGTCTCTAATCTGCTGATTATGTCTTCTCTTTCTTCATTACTCAAGGAGCCACTTCCAAACTGAAACAAACAAACAAACCAAAAAAGGACAATAGCATGCTAGAATAATGACAAGCAATATATGTGTACATATATGTCAGTATGTATGTGTAAATATCACACAGTGTATTTTATCACATGCGCGCACACACCAGCAGATACAATACTAATAGAGGAAAACTCTTTCAGTACCAGTGAGGATTAATAAATAGAAGAAGAAAATGTAACAGTTATTAAGTAAATGGGAACAGACCAGACCTGGTAGAATTATCACATTTTCACAATTTATGAAGTAGCTGAGTAACGTGGTTACAGGAAAATATCCAGAATACATTTTAATACGTTTTGCAACTAAAACAACCCCCACAACAAACATCTTCATGGAAGAACATCACTCTGATTTGAAGAATGTTCCTCTGGGCTCCAACATTTGACAGATGATGATTGGAGAAAAGCCACAACACAAATTTCACATATTTCAATTTTTCTTAGTTGGAAGGTGCAACTCACTCCTCTGACCAGTTGGAGGACTGCAGGAGAAATAGCCAGAAGGGTAACAGCACTGAAAGGACAGGGACTGGACTTTTAGCCATTTTTTCTAAAAAAAGACTGGTTGTGCAGCCATCAAATTTTGACAGAGAACTCTGAGGATCCTGGAAGACTGAAGTTGGCATTGCTGGGGGGTTGCATGTACTCCATAGATTTGGGGTAGAAATGGGTTGAACACCAACCACATATTTTTCCTTTTCCAGTTTTGCTAGATTTTTAACCACCTTGTCTTATGAAGAATACCTGGACATTCAAGAGCCTGCAAGTACCTTGTGAACTTTCAGCTGACTTAATAAAATTACTGCTTCAGGATTAATTTTGGTTTTTGTTTTCCTGATTGTCAGCCCCCATATCCTTTTATCCTCAAACCTGTTATTTCCTCAAACCTAACTCGATTTATTACCCCACCTTATGAAAGACATCAACGAAGACATCACTGACCTTATGAAAGGCATCAACGAAGCTCGTGTGTTTTGGAATTCTTCGAAGTGTTATATTACTTGTGTCTGCTGATATCTTCTGTCCTGTCTCTGACCATAGCTATGCAAGAAAGGAAATATTGTACAGTATTAGAGCTTATTATCCATCAAATTAGTATTCATTTATTTATTTATGATCTACTTCTCCATCTTTATTTGTTGAATGTGCTGGCTGGAAGATTCCCAAATCAAGTAGACAGGCAGTGCAAAACTGTATCATGTATATGCTGATCATTCTCATGGTATTTGGTCTCCTTTGCTCAGATTAGCTGGATCCTAAAGTGACCTCTCCTTGCCTTGGATGAACCCCCAAAGGCTGATTCAATACCTTCATCCCCTTTATAGCCAAATAGATTTACTAGAAGATCTGGAGTTGAAGCTTCCAAGAGCTACTTACTAGATTCCCTAAAAATGGATATGCTGTGTGCACTTTAAGTTTGAGTAAGAGAGGGAAGGCACTAGGAAGATTAGGGGAGCCAGTGGGATAGGCATGTGCTTCATGCTTGAGTTGAAGGGGGAGGGGGAGATAGGGGAGGCATTGGGAAGGTCTGATAGGCCAGTGGGCAGTGTGTCCACATAGTGCCAGTGGCTGAATTGAAGGAGGGAGGCTGGGAAGGTCGGCAAGGGGCACAGTAGAGAGTGGTGACAAGTGAGTTGAGAGGGGACACTGGGAAGGCACTGGGAAGTTGAGGCAGGTGTGAGGAGTGCTGGATGGTGCTGCAAAGGAGAGAGAGGGAGAAAGGTGTTGGCAAGATTGATCAATTTTGCTGCTAGAACTGCTGGAGGAAAACACTCCCACAGTCCCTAAAGCTGGTGATGAGAATGGCAATTGCTTAGAGGGCTGTCAAAAAGGAAGGACCTTTTTCTTTGCAGTCCACCTCCAGGAAGGGAAAGAAAAAAGATTCCTGGGGTGTGGGGGATCTTCAGCTTTATTGCCCCTTGGAAGCAGTTTTCCTATTACAAACATTCTTGCATGCTTGAACAAGGGAACTAAGATATTGAATATTGTAAGGTTTTAAAAACGGAAGGACTGTCAATTCCCTAAAATGTATCAGTCCAAGTCTTTTTGTGGTGGAAAAGGTCCTCCCCATTGGCAACAGTGTTATTAAAGCTATTTGGGCAAGATACCAGTTTGGAGTTGATCTTTAGAAGATTATTCCACAAATGGAGGCTATGCTTCTGATTAGTGTTAGATCTATTGCATCACTAGCAATAACAGAAATCTAAATAACTTGTAACCCATGAAATACAACAAGGTCTACACTTTGGACATCATATCTTCTCTAGGCTATCTGCTTCTATGTCTAGCTCCCAAAAGAATTAATAATTCAAATATAATATAAACTACTGTTATTTAATCGTATTAGTGGCCTGAAGAAGCACCAGCTGTTGCATTATTAGATGGAAACATTATTGTCTCAGGACAAGGAAATTGACTAAGCTGTCTTCTGCATTCTGGTGCCTGCATGTTATTCCACTAGAAAGAGGGTCAATGACTCATCATCCAAAAGCTTTTAGAACAACTGGTTGAGCCGCATGCCTTTTTCCCTTTCTTTTCTCAAAAAAGCTTTTATAAAAACACAAGGAAGCCCCTATTTTTTGACATCATAACCTTTGGCCTATATATCCAGGGCTCTATTCTCCCTATAGGAATGAATTTACTTTGGAGTGTGATGCCACCAATATACTGATGACACCCAACTCTATTGTTTTTTGCCAAGTAATACAAGAAAGTGACTGATATTTGTGGACATTTCCTGAGTCTGATCATGGGCTGAAGAAGAGTGAAGAAGCTGAGCTTAAATCCAGACAAAGTGGAAGTACCATTTATCACTAAACTAGCTGGCTTGGGGACCGGGATCCAATCTGTTCTTCAAGTGAGCTCTCCTTCCTGAAAGATCAGATTAATCAACTCTTTGATCCTATGCCATTTCTGGATCTCCAAGCAGGGAGTGCAAAAAGGAACACATCTGCACAATTAAATCTAGTGTGTCAGTTTTAACTGTTCTTAAGCTAGTCAAATTTGGCCAAAATTAAACATACTTTGCTTACATCGTGTTTAGATTAATTTAGATTAGTGCTCTCGGAAGCTTCATTTGGTGCAAAATATGTCATCCAGATTACAACCAGTGTTTGTTATTGATCCCCAGAACTGAAAAACTTGTACTGCTTGGCAATTCTTACATTTTTAAAACCCAGATGAGCTTAGGGCCTTGTTATCTAAAAGCCATTACATCTGCTATGAAGGATAAGCTTTCTGAAGGATGTCTTACAGGCAGTCGTCACTTAACAATGGTAATTGGGTCAGGCAACTCTGTCACTAAGCAATGCTGTCGCAAAGCATGCAGTCATGTGACTACATCGACTTATGACAGCAGTTGCAGCAGTCCCAGTTGACATCATTAGGCAAATCCCGTGTGGTCACAGTGTCCTGTGTCACATGATTGCCATTTGCAATCTCCTGCAGGCTTCCCCATTGACTTTGCTTGTGAGAAGCTGGCAGCGAAGGTCGCAAATAGCAATCACGTGACCTCAGGATGCTGCGATGGCCACAGCTATGAGGACCCATTGTTAAGTCCCCTTCGTTCAGCACCATTTTAACTTTGAATAGTCACTGAACGAGTAGTTGTACAATGAGGACTACCTGTAGGTTCATTCTTCCATGTGGCTTTCAAATTAAGGAATGCTGTGTCTTTAGAGCTACATTTTAGTAAAGGTTAAGATACATGTCTTCACATTTTATTCTTAATTTACTCTTAGTATGGGATTTTGTGTATTGCCCTGCTAACTTCCAGCAGCAGGCAGCATAGAAAACAGATAAAGAATCCAGTATCTTATTTCCTATAGGGTGAACTACATTATTTTAATTAAGACACAGATGCACTTTATTAAGGGCAAAGTTTATTCACAGTGCTGGGTAGGAGAGACTGTGATTCATTAAGCTTCCCCCCGCCCCCCATGAAGCAGGGGCCAACTCAGTCCAGCTCTCCTTGAAATGTAGATGAGACATTTCAATCGTAATGGCCTCCATGCCACCCAAGAGGACTGGTACTTCAGCATGTGAGAAATCTTAGAATAAAACCCCTTCTCTTCTTGTTGAAACACTGACTACTCTTTTAATAAATAGACTGTAGATCAGCGTCCCCTTTAATTTCTGATACGCTATGTGCAGAAAATAATTGTTTTGTGTGGCTTTTCCCAGACCAAGTACACATTTGTGCGCCACAGTATGAGTATACGAGTAAATTGCAAATATAAATATAAAAGCAATTGTAGTTTTATTTCTGCTGAATTTCAAATGTATTTGTTAAACTTATATTGCTGCCTATCTTAAATACAATAATCATAGGTGGTTCACAACAAAACCCACAACAACACAATTATGTCACCCACAGCCGGAGCAGCACAGTTCCCTTCCATTGTGCTCCACCTGATAATTGCAATCAATTTTTGTAAGTGTTGAAAATTGTTTCTTTTGGCGGGTGGGGGAGGAATTTGATAGTGTAATGGAAGAAAAAGAAAAAAGAGAGAAAAGCATTACACATAAAGTTTTAAGATAGCTTCCGCTCTTTCATTCTTTCCCCAAACTTTCTTTCTTCTATGGATGTATTCTGAATTTCCTTAAACTTTTATTATTTTTAATTTTAAAATTGAAATTTTTATAATGTTAATAACTATCATGGACCTTGTGAGGCCCAAAACTCAACAGATATTAAACTTTTTTGGACGGAGGAGGGAAATTAAACACTGACAACAAAGGTATTTATAGTCAAGGCTATGGTTTCCCCAGACAGATGCCAATGAAAGCTTGATCATCAGAAAGGCTCAGTGAAGAAAAAAGGAAGCCTCTGAATTGTACTGAAGAAAATGGGAGAGAATAACTTGGACCACCACAACAAATTACTGAATACTAGATGAAGCAAAACCATATTTCATTGTGATGGTCACCATTTTATACATAGTTAAAACAGAATCAGGTAAATACACGGAGGATGGATCTTAACTAGCTGAACAGGCTCTAGCTGTATGCTTTTGAATATAAATTGTTAGGGAGAACAATGAAAGAGGATACTTATTTTTCAGAAACATCTTGAGTTTGTTGTTGTGGGAAACGGAAGCCTATATAAGATGGTGGGTGCAGCTGTTCAGTTCTTCAATGGCTTCTGCCTCTTTGTGCCTTGATGGAAATCAGTAACTGCTTATTTGAGTTCTTTAAAGGAGCTAGGAATGGGGTGAGGGACTTTAATGAGAGTCAGAAAGTGGCAAAAAAGAGCAAGGCAAAGTTAGGATTCTGCAGCTATAACTATTAGTATTAATAATCTTACTTGTTCCCATGGTTTTGTGACTGGATTCATTTCCTTTTTTGGGCTTGTTCAAGCGGAACAAAAATCATGTGGCCATAAACATTTGTAACGATGCACGGTATAGATTAAATGAGAGCATCCACGGATGATGTGTCTGTGTGCAAATGCTGTATAATCTAGAATCTTCAGAGTTATTACACTGTATACAGTACTAGAAAGGGACAAGAGAGGGTAAGGATCCAACATTTGACAAGCAACGCGTGTCCTCTAGTGGTCACAGGTTGCAACCGCACCCTGGCCTTTAAAATAGCGTTGATGGATGGAATATTAGATCCAGGCTGAAAGAAGATTCAGCAAAATTTGTAGCAAACCAGAGACTGATCAAACAAAAGCGGGGGGGGGGGGGGGGAGAGAGAGAGAGACAGAAGAGTCTACTTTAAAGAATATAGGAAATGAAGAACACATACCAGATCATGAAAGATTTAAACCAAGCTGAACTGAGTAGAAACACGCTTGCTCCTAAAGAGAACAAGGACACGCTATCGTAAGAAAAGCCAAGCAAAACATGTTATGTGCAATCCAGCTAGATACGCATGATATTACCCTAAGTGCAGTCAGGTTATTGGTCTCTCCATTCAATCCAGTGCAAACTGGACTGGCTGGTAAAGCTGTGCCTCTCCAGCCCGGGTCTTCCTGAGTCCTGCTGTCTGAGAACTTTTAGTATGAGATCCTGGGAAGCGAATTCTCCTCTGCTCTG